AGCAGGAAGTATTCAGGTAAATTCACTGTGAGGGAGCAAGAGGGGGTGGTAACGTTTCTACCTCAGGACCGTGCACAACCAGAGACTGTATGACCGCGATATGTGTGATCTCTGTGCACGTTATTAAACCGCTGCCTTAAGTTTTCTGTCCTCCAGTATGTACAAAAAAACTGTCATCATAGAGTTGGACTCTGTTGCTCTGTCCACCACCTCTGACTGCCTGAAAATAATGAAGACTTTCAGTAGTGCATGAGTGAAAATGTCTTTATTGAGGCTGAAGAACGTTTAGGATTGTTGTGTTTTGTCCACAGAGCTGAATGATTTTTGTTATTATTTCAAACACTCTTTTCTCTGGTGCTGATTTACTGTGAAGAGATGAACTCACTCCTGCTCCTGCGTCTCTTCCAGGGCTCCTTCTTGATCACTCAGGCTGTGGCTCAGGCTCTGGTGGCCTGTGGAGCACCCAAAGGATCCATCATCACCGTGGGCAGCATCGTAGGAAAGGTGAGAGAGCTGCAGAGAGACGCTTTCTAGACGACAGTTTCACTTCTCTGTTGAATCTTTTAAGGTTTCTTTTCAAATGTATGAACATAAGTGTGTAAGGACCTGGTGTGTGAATGTGATCACTTACTTGTGATGGACTCTTTACTCAGCAGCCTCTACCATCAGTGTGTGAATGTGTAGGTGTGACACGTGTTGTAAAAGCCCTTTGAGTCGTCAGAAGACTAGAAAAGAAATATACAAGCTCAAGTCCATTTACCATTTATCCTGAAGTTCATGTGGCAGCGTAATGATTTCTCTTTATTTATTGAACAGTGATCATCCGTCCATCCATCCACCTTGTGCTCGTAGCCAATAAAGGGTTAAATGGTTCTTGGATCCATGTGTTTGAATGTTCACACCAGCTGGAGGTTCACTGGTTCAGCATTTTAAAGACATTCACTCACACTCATTACTTTTAGTGATCCTTTTTTACGACTTCTTTGATCGAATGTCGCCTCCACAAACTCTGAATTATTAATCAGTCGTCTTTAAATCGTCTACAAAAGGTCGGAGAAATGCACGGATTGAAAACAAGCTGGTGAGGATGGAAACAATCAAAACACCAAACATGACAGGAACCTCAAACATGTTCACACAACCACACAGGGTTAGAAACAAACACACACCTGAATCCTGATTCTCTGCACCTGTTCACCTGTCACTCCCCTTTCTAGCTGCGTGTGGCTGATTACCCATGATGCCCAGGTGCAAAGGTGACGTAGCAGCAGCAGCAATAATAACCAAACTCAGCACACACACTATAGCACACATCAAACTGGCTCCAACAAATGTTTTTATATCATCACAATGTAGATGTTACTGAACTGAGCGGCTAATTTAAATATCTTTGTTCAGACGTTTCAGAACATGTGAATAATCCGTCTATAAGATCAACAAAGTAAAGATCATAAAGTTTATTGGAATCAAACTAAATGTTCCCACAATGGTAGCTACAGCTGTGTAAGTGTTTCCATGAATGTTGAAGTGAAGAAACACACAGACATTTGGAGTGTGAGGGACTTTATTGAACAGATCATTTACAGTACAAAGGTATGAAACAGCAGCTCAACACCACTAGTTAACTTAACCCAACACAGGAAGTGATTCTGAGAATTCATCTTCCACTTCCATTCACAAAACTCAGAGAGAAAACATCCCTCGTTCCTGAACACGAGCAGGAATTATATACAAGATTTCAACTGGATAGCTGAGACGCCTCCCACAAACAGTTTAGGATCTCTGATCAAAATAAAACAATAATTAGAGCTGTCAGCATTAACGAGTTCATCACGATTAATCTCATCTTATTTTGTCCCTTCAGGCTCTCCGTAGATAGTGGTCCTCAGTGTCTCCCTGTAGTCTCACTGATGTAAAAGAAGAACACTGCTGCATCTTTGAATGTCTCATTTCACTTTAACAAACTCTCAGACAGTAATATCCACCTGATGACATCACACACTGACCTGATGACATCACACATTGACCTGATGACATCACACATTGACCTTTGTCACCGTTCCTTTGAGCTGTTTGACCTCACTTTGGGATCCATAACCACTTCCTGTTTCTGTGTTTTAGTTCATGTCCTAACCTTCCATCTACAGGAAGCTCCTTACTGTATTTCAAAATAAAAGCAGGGCTAAATTCAAACAGCAGGTAACGTTTTTCCAGCTTTAAGGCAGAGTTTTGAAAGTAGCATTTCCTCAGTGCTCCGTCTACACCAGCCCCTCCTTCTGCCTCTGTATTTCTTGTATCCAATGACAGCGAGGCCGAGAAGAACGAGTGCAGCGATGATGGCGATGATGGGGATGACGGTGTTCATGGGATTCACTGTTGAGCACAAATCAACAAACCACAGTTACAACCTGTGCAGATGAAGCAGGTTAGAGGAGGAGAACATGTGCCAAGCAGACAATCATCATCCTGTAAATAAACACTGTTTGTCCTGCTGCTCTTCATTTGAATCTCCACTTGTCTGTAAATAAATCCTGTATCTATGTTTGATTCATCTTCCAGTCGTGTTGTCGTCCTTTATCTGAATGCTGATTTCTTTATATGTTGATGTTTCGCTCTGAGAGATTTTGACAAACGGATTCAAACTCATTTTGACTGAACGAGGAAAAGAAAACTCACCGTGAATGATTTACTGACAGATATATTTATACATCCAGTAATTCATCAACTTGATCTTCTCTTCAACTAAAGGAAGAATGAGTGACTTTTTGATCCAGTAGATGTCGCCCTTGAGCAAACCAAAACAAACTGCTGTTTGGCCACGCCTCCTCCACACTCAGAGACATTCACACAGGATAGACTGGATTTCTGATATATTTATGTGTAACATGTCACACATTCATCCTTTAAAACTTTAACTTTGAGAAGTCAACACAGTGCCTTTAATCTCTCAAAATAAACATGTTTGACTTTTCTTCAACAACAGCACTCTAACTGTGTTTGATTCAATCGTTTTCTTGATGGATTTAAAAACTGAAAACACTAAAAAATAAAATCTAAAGAGAAACTGAAATGAAATGATGTGGCTGTAAATGAAAAAGAGATGCTAACATGTGAATCATGATTTTTCTCCCTGAGATCTGAGATCACGATTCTCTCACATGATTCTTTTTTTTTTTTTTTTTCAACTTTTAAGTGAAAACTGCATCTTGGGGTCTCCCCTCAGAAAAATGTTAGCATCAGACATTTCTTTTCCTGCATTCTGATCATTATTTATGCTCCACTTTGGACCTTTTCTGCACAGCTTTATGATTATGTTTTAATCTTTTGGTCCTTTTTTGTGTCTTTTTCAAATCTCTTTCAGTGTTCATCAGACACATGTTGACACAATGATGAGTGCTTTCATTTGAATACTTTAATAAACATGTGGACTGGAGAGTTGAAGTAAATCTGCACTATTCCAGCCCTGCAGCTCTCTCTCTCTCTCTCTCTCTCTCTCTCTCTCTCTCTCTCTCATTAATCCATTTAAAACTGTTACAGTCAAATCCTCTCTTTCATCACTTCTCATCGAGGTCTTACCGTAGTTGGTCTTGATCTCTCGTTTGTCCAGTTTGGTGACAATGTCCTCCTTCACACCAGAGAGCTGAAACACACAGTCGTACTTCCCCCAGTCATCAGAGGGCAGTTGAAGGTCAGCGCTGATCTGGAAGGAGCCGTCGTGGTTGGGGAGGATCTCTCCCTTGTCCACGTCCTCGTGAAGCTCCTCTCCATCTTTCCTCCAGAACATCATGGCTCTGTTGGGGTAGAAACCTGTAGCGTGGCAGGTGACCCGAGAGGAGGGAGTCTTCTGGAGGAGAGACACTGTGGGGAGGTCTGGAGGACAAACAGGAAGACAGATTAGAGTTTCTTTATCAGGATTTACTCTTAAATACTGTTACAACTCATGTTTGATGACACTTTTTAAATGTACTGGGAAAAAAGGGACTTTAAAATCCAGTGAGTCAACAATGAAAATCAACCTTATTAAAGTATAATTCAAAGAAGAGAGGGTCAGAGGGGAAGAAACAGAAGAAGAGAGGTGAGGGGGGTTCAGATGGATTGATGAAGAAGAAGAGGAGAGAGAGAAAGTACAATAAAAACACAGAGAAACTTTGAGAGAGAGCGATGAGCAGCAGAGAGAAAGAGATCTAACATGAAGGGAAAGGTAAGGGGAAGCTTAAAGATGAAGACAGAGCATGTGTGATAGAAACATGTGTGAAATATTTATTGTTCAATTACAAGATAAACAAGAAAAGAAGATGATGAACATTGTCAGAGTTCAACTCCATCAGGTCATTTGATCCTACCTGTTCTCATCAGAGAGCTCCTCCCATAGTTCACATACTTCTTCAGCCAGTCAAGACACTCATTGGTGAGGTAGTTCTTAAGATACTCTAGTCGAGCTTTGTCTTTATCCCACTTCTGTTTGGTGACGACAGCCTGTTGTTGTGGAGCGATATACGTCATTGTCTTCATGTCCAGAACTACGAAGTCTTCTCCATCATAACCAATCTGTCTATAACCATTAACATCTCCAGTCTCATCATCCCACTCACAGCCGTACATCTCCTGGTAAACATGAACACCTGAGAGAGAGAGAGAGAGAGAGAGAGAGAGAGAGAGAGAGAGACAGAGAGAGAGAGAGACAGAGAGAGAGAGACAGAGAGAGACAGAGAGAGAGAGAGAGAGAGAGAGAGAGAGAGAGGGAGAGAGAGAGGGAGAGAGAGAGAAAGAGGGAGAGAGAGAGAAAGAGAGAGAGAGAGAGAGAGAAAGAGAGAGGTATAGTTTAAATCCTTTATTATTACATCAGAGACACACTGAGTCTCTCTCTCTCTCTGAGTTGTAGTCCTGACTAGCAGACTCAGATTAAACTGGTCCTGGACTGAACGTGGACTCTCTGTGGATCAGTCCAACATTTCGCTCGTCCTGTGAGAAACCACACACTCGACTGTCCCGAGCTGTTCTCCAAGTTTCCTCTGAAGGAGAGTCTCAGTCCAGGATCAGTCTGTAGACTCCTCCTGCTCGGCCCTCACAGAGTTCAGCAGTGTGTTACTACAGCTGCTCACAATAAGGCAGAGACCACCAGGACCAGTATGGAGACTGGGAGACAGTCTGTGCGTCCTGATTGGTTCATCCATCTGTCAATCATTCAACACTAACAACAGCTGTTTCCAGCTGCAGATGTTTGTTTGATGCTGCCTGAGAGGACGAGCCAACACTGAGGTCAGAACAGTGGAGATCATCTCATCTAATGTGTACTTGGACTTTTTATGAAGAGCTCAGAATAAAGATTCATGATCACATTATTTGGATTGATTCATGAACCAACCACTTCTTTTGAAACGTCAACAAAGAATAAGGTGAACTTTTCAAACAGCTCCAGAATAACACTGAACGCTGTTTCATTTACAATCATATCAAACTGATCAAAGCAGCTAATTGTCATATTTGACAAACTGGAAAAAACATTTTGGACCTTTTGGATTCAAGAGACTGAAATAATGAGTCCATGATCAAAATGATTGTCCCTTCATTTTCTGTGGATCATCTCATCAATGAATGGACTGAACTGTTCAGCCTGATGAGTGAATCATGGCGTACAAACACTGTTCAAGTTTCATTCATCTCATTTAATCTAGATTTATAATTCACATGTAGAATCTGGATGGAACCTGAACATCAGTACGGTCCAGTTCATACAATCCAATATGTTTCATACCACATATTTAGAGCGTTAACTCATTATTCTTGTTATTATTGATGATGTAACGGCTTTTTTTAAATCAATCAATAAATGTTTGAATCTGTTAAATGTCAATAAAAAGTCAAACAAGTCCATCACAACTTCTCAGAGGCTGAGATTAAATCTTTAAATGACTTCTTTAGTCTGAGCGACACTGAGCAGAAAGTCATTCATTTAAAGAGTTTATTATGAGACAGACACACCGTCATCACATTCATCTAAATGAATCTAATCTAAATGAATCTAATCTAAATGAATCTAATCTAAATGAATCTAATCTAAATGAATATAATCTAAATGAATATAATCTAAATGAATCTAATCTAAATGAATATAATCTAAATGAATCTAATCTAAATGAATATAATCTAAATGAATATAATCTAAATGAATCTAATCTAAATGAATCTAATCTAAATGAATATAATCTAAATGAATCTAATCTAAATGAATATAATCTAAATGAATATAATCTAAATGAATATAATCTAAATGAATATAATCTGTAGTTGTTCTTGTTCATATTTCGGACACAGGGAGGTCAGTACAGTAGAGTTGTGCTGTTTGACCTTTGACCCCTCTGATCTGATGGTCATATTTATCATGGCGTCCTGTCAGTCAGCTTCATGAAAACATGCTGCTCCTCCTCTATGTGAGGACCCAGCAGAAGCAGCCTGTGTCCCATTTGGGGTCCTGCTCCTCAGTTTGAGAAACCAGGCAGTAATGTTCCTCTATCAGCTGTGTGTTGTTGGTTTGTTGTGATGAACAGGTTTGTTTTTCTAAAAGGAGATTCACATGTGGGCAGCTCAGTAGAGTTCTTGTGATGTAATCTAGTGGAGATCAAGTGTTAATAATGTCTGTAGATTATTATGGGATGGACAGAAACACTGAATCAGAGCAGTACAGCAGCATCCAGGAGTCTGAGTCTCTGAGATGTTTCTGTTGAGTCTGACTGTTTGTTTCAGACGAGGAAAGACTTCATCCAACAGATTCAACCATGAACACACACTCCTGACTCTGTGTGTGTGTGTGGTGTGTGTGTGTGTGTGTGTGTGTGTGTGTGTGTGTGGTGAGAGAGAGAGAGAGAGGTGTGTATCTGTGTGTGTGTCTAAGTTTAATGTGTGTGTGAGTGTGTGTGTGTATATGTGTGGTGCTGTGTGTATCTGTGTGTGTGTGTGTGAGTGAGAGAGAGTGTGTATCTGTGTGTGTGTGTGTGTGTGTGTGTGTGTGTGTGTGTGAGAGAGAGAGAGAGTGTGTATCTGTGTGTGTGTGTGTGTGTGTGTGACTGTGTGTGTGTGTGTGTGTGTGTGACTGTGTGTGTGAGAGAGAGTGTGTATCTGTGTGTGTGGTGTGTGAGAGAGAGAGTGTGTATCTGTGTGTGTGTGAGTGAGTGAGTGAGAGAGAGTGTGTATCTGGTGGTTGTGTGTGTGTGTGTGAGTGAGTTGAGAGAGAGTGTGTATCTGTGTGTGTGTGTGTGTGTGTGTGTGTTTGTGTGTGTGTGTTGTGTGTTTAATATGTGTGTGTGTGTGTGTTTAATATGTGTGTGTGTGTTTCTGTGTGTGTGTGTGGGTGTGTGTGTGTGTGACTCTGTGTGTGTGTGTGTGTGTGTATGTGTGGTGTCTGTTAATGGTGTGTGTGTGTGTGTGTGTGTGTGTGTGTGTGTGTGTGTGTTATAAACAATCTTTTTTCAGTATAAATTGAATCATAAACAAACCTCCAGTTTGGTTGAAGCGCCGCTTTAAAGTGTCAAGGCCGACTTTGAACACTGCTGGTGACCCTTTAATTTCTCAGTCTCCCCTCCCAGTACTGATCATCTACGGCTTTCATCCAGTCCTGTTTGGGTTCTTCTCTTCGTGTTACTGTCGTAGTAACAAATCTGAAATCATCACCATCAACAGACACAAACTCTGGGAAGTTTGTGACTTCAGAAGACGCCGTGTGAAAAACTTCAGAGAGTGCATCACTGTAAGGACAAAATGTTTTCATCAGTTTAATCTGAAACTTTTTGCATCATTGAACAAAAGTTATTATCCAGCACACAGAATCAAAAAACACTTCCAGTACATTCAACCAAACCTGATCATCTCTCTGCAGTCATTAAATACTCCAATTAATTTAGAGATGAAAAGAAAAAGTTCTCCTGGAACTCTTATTCTGATATTTCTGATTCAAGTGTTAGAAAATGTTTTTATACTGAAATTATTTATTCAACAAGTCAAATATTCAAGTGATGCAGTCATGCCCCTGACTTTCATTGACAGATATGTTTCATTAAGTGGATTTTTTATTGACTTCTTGACATCTCATGACTAGTCCTCACGTAGGCGGGTTTTATTATTTGAGTTTTGAAAGGACAGTGTTGGAGGACAGCAACAAAGAAAAACTATTGAACAGTATATGGAGCACAGTTTAAGAAGCTGTGTAGACTGAGTGGAGCTGCACAATCAGCCAGCGCAGAAAAACTCAATTAGAAAAAACTCAACTAAAAAACTTCAACTAAATGACAGATCATTTCTGAATCCTGCATGTTGTCTGCTTTCTGAATGCACGTCGATCATTGTTCTGTTTTTAATCTGCTCTTTAGAAAAATATGCACTGCTCAGAACAAAAAAGCTTTTAGATAAATCTGTGCAGGAATAAATGTAACCACTTTGAATAAAGTCTACAAACTTTGTAGTCTTATTAATGCTGAATTGTTGAGGCTGCTGTGGATGTTTTTTTGACTTTCACAGATTAAAACCATTTATTTCTTTTTGTGTGGGAAACACAAACTGAGCTGTGACGTTTCAGTTTGAGAATAAAGTCGTGACTGCCCTCTGGTGGACAAACTCTGTAATGCAGACTCTGTTTCTAAATGATGTTCAAGCTGCTTCACTGTTTTCTGTCACTTATCGGCCAACATAAGCACAGAAAACTAAATATGTGCAATAAGCTCACATCAGCAGATATGTGTGTTTCTAGATCCACTAAACAGTCTGATGTTTGACTTCAATGAAATGTTGGAGCTTCAGGGTTTATGTGATCTCAACTAAACAACAAACAAACATGTAAAAGATGAAGATCATCTGTGGAATAGCTTTGAGCTTATTCATATTTCATATACAAATATTCAGAGGTAAAACAATAAACCGAGATTAACTTCATTTTGAGGGTCAGGAGGTTGATTATGTTTCTGATTCTTTGAGCACATATTTGAGTTTGATCCTCACAAAATGAACTTTAATGACTGTGACACTCTGATTATATGTTAATTATCACAATTCATTCAAGTGAAATAAGTATTTATACCACATTAATTATACTACATTAATAACAAAACACTTTTTCTAACATTAAAGTGTCATGAAGGACTTAAAGAGTCCATTTAAATGCTCTATTAATGGTTTTAGAGGTGAAACACTTTGAAGGCATTTAGTTCCTTTTTCTTTCTGAATCAGAGTCTATCTGCTGTGTTCACTGTAGTTATGCTGCTATTTTAACATTCATGGTCCTGTTCATATGAACCGGGCCTTCATCATTTCTCGGCTTGTCTTTTGGAAAAGATAACTAGCAGACACTTTTTATAGCCTTTCTCACAACAACACTTTTCTTGTAAGTATCAGGGTGTGAGGACGTGAACAAACAGGATTACTAACGTCAAATTAAATGTTCACTTTTCACATTTCAACAAGCTGCTTCAGTCCTGAGAACAAACATCAAATGAAGCTTTCATTTCTACCAACAGTTTATAAAAGACATGCGACATTTCCCTCTTTCCATTAAATC